GCGGCTCCCCCCCACCTCCAGCATGGCCAACCTGATCTGACCCAGGACACCTCTGTGTGAGCCTTAGTGGATACAACCTGTCAGTGATGGCCTTTCCCCGAGGAAGGGCGAGAGCTGCAGTGTGCCCTGTGTTTCTGGTGGAGATGACTGGCATTTGCTTTGCCCCAGGCTGGTGGCACAGCACAGACTCAGGGCACGTGGATGGGCTCTGACCTGGCTGGCATTTTATTTCCACAAAGCCTCCTGTGTCAGCTGCTGCCTGCCTGGCTGTGACCATGTTACAGAGTGAAGGTGAGCCTGTCCTGTACCCCTGGGAACCCCAGTACTTGTTTGGTTCCTGCAGTTCCTGGAACTGTGTCATACACTCTCCTGGCAGGAGAGGCTGTAATTGTGGGTGGTATAAAACCAACCTGTGCTCTGGGCAGAGCCTCCAGCTCTTGAGTGAAGTAGAGCCTCTAGCAGCTGGTGAATGGCAGGAGAAACTTTGCATGTCAGCAGGCACGAGGGAGCCTGGTGGGAGGTATGGCTGCAGGGGCTGCTCCCAAAAGTCACCGGTGTCTGTGGGAGTGAGTGTGGGATTTGCATAGGATTGTGTGTGCCAGAGCCACAGCATGGCTGGACCTCACATGAAATGCTGTTTGTGTTTGCAATGCCAGGATCTGTTCTAGTGTTACATTTCTGCAGCCCACCATCGCCTGTGGTTTATCAAAGGGGTGATCAAGCCATGTTGGTGTCAAGGCCCTGATGGGCTATCTGTACTGGACTCAGTGTTGGGGCTGTGTTATCATGCCAGGATGCTCCAGCTACATGAGCCACAAACAGCAAGGTGCAGTTGCTGGGGGATGGTGATGAGATGCCCAAATCCTGGGGCTGAGGCTGCCCTTTGCAGAAGCTGTGCCAGGGGAGAGCGCTGTGCCCTCCCACAGGAGTTTCCCAGGCAGAGGCAGGAGCCCAGCAGCCCATCCCAGTCCCTGCTTGTTTCCATGCTGTTTCTGTCTCCCAAGTGCTGCAGCTGCTGCAGGGCAGAAAAGTTCCTCTACTGTCACTTGGGCCTTACCTGGAGTTTTTTTGGTGTTTTATCTTTACAAGGTGTCTTGTTTTATCACCAAGGTCTCTCTACCAGAGGCAGACTAACAATTCACCCCAGGAACTTTTCCTGTGACTTAAGTCTAATTTACCTGACAAAATTCTCACTTCCCTCATAGACTCACTAACCATTTCACTGTCCTTTCCATAGAAATAGACCCCAACCTCCTGCTGGAGATGCTCCTGCATGACCTTCTCTTCCTCTGAGCCAGTTGGTCAGAGCATGGTGCTAATAACACCAAGGTCATGGGTTTGAACCCCACGTGGGCCATTTTCTTCAGAGCTGGACTCTGTGATCCTTCTGGACCCCTTCCAGCTCAGACTGTTCTGTGATTCTTCATCTTGTCTGCTCCCATCTTTCCTTCACCTGAGTTGCTCTGCTCCAGATGTTGGTTTTGCTCATTATTTGCCAAGTGTCCTCTGCAATGGAAAAAGACTGAGCTATTGTTTTTTGGTGCCTGATAGCAAAATCATTTGGAAGAGGATGGTAGCTGATTCCCTTGCTAACAGCACAAATCACTGTCCATGTTACACCTGGAGGCAGTGTCAGAGCTTACCATCAGCTGGTCACTGAGGGCTTCACCCCTTCACAGCTCCAGACCAACCATTCCCAATGCAGTGAGATCTCATGAAACCACATCTGTATTCACCTTCTCTTGCTGACTTTCCTCTGCTTGAAGCCTTGGATTGTTTTCCCCAATGTAAAGGTACATAATTTGAGCTTTTCTCTCTGTATCTCTGTTATTTCTACATTTTCCTCTGCCACTTTCACATCATCTGTAGATTTTATTAAACTGCTGTTTCCTCTTCTCTCTGCATCTCCTCCCTTAATCTGCCCAGGAGCTCAAAAGGTGGTGGTGAGCTCAGATCCTCCTGTGCTAAATCTCTTGAAAGCTGAGCTGTTCTTCCCCTCTAGGCTGTTTGGCCTCAGGTCCACCAGGGACCCCTGTGCTTACACAGGAGGGGATAGGCCAGAGCTGAATGGTCTTGCACCACCATCACCATTACTGCTGCTCTGCAGGCTTTTGTCAATGCATGTGCAGTTATGCCTGGCTGCACCCCCTCTGCCAGCACCAGAGGTCCAGCAGTGACTGCCAGCTCCAGCAGCCTACACGTGCTGGCAGGCCACAGCTGCCTGCACACCAGCTGTTTTGCACATCTGGGCATTTCTGTGAAGAGGCGTGACTGTGCCCAGCTCGCAGCTCCGTGCTGCCTGCGTGTCAATGTGAATCCTGTCCCCTCCGCAGCCCCTTCAAAACGTGCCCCAAGTTCCTGTGACTTGTGCCAGGAAAGGGTGATTGACTGTGGGCCAGCAACCCAAGGAGATAATGGCTAAGAACAGGCTGTGCCTGAAGATGGTGGCTGGCTGTCCAGCTGCCCAGAGGGACAGCCTGTGCTGCCCAATCACTGACTCCCCTCTGCAGCACAGGTGTGGTTTGGTTTTGGTTCCTGCGTTGTGTGTGGACATACATAATAAAGTGTTACAGAAGTTGATTGTGTTGAAGGCTGATACTTGAGTGCAGGCCTCTCTGCAGAGCAGAGGTGTCAGGGCTGGCCTCAGCCCAGGGCAGTAATCACAACAGCCCAGGGTCCCTCGTGTGGCTGTGGTTTTGGATCACCAGCTAGTGTGGCAATGCCACCACAGCCCCAAAAATGCATGTACTTCTTTCACGATACACAATTCCCACCTCCAGATCCATATTAATCTCTCTGCTTAAGAACCCAGATGTATCCAGATCCCCTTACCACTGCTCTGTGAACCTGAGACCTCACTATGCCCCTGAAAGATGCTCACACAAAGCCTCTGAATATGTCAGTGCTGGCTAGCTTGTTTACAGAGCAGCTGTTTCACCCTGTGGCAGGGCTGAGCCTCGCACCTGGAACCAGTCTGCCTGCATACCTGCTCCTGCTCCCAGCCAGCCTCAGCCAGGCCCTCATGGCAGCTTCCTGGGTGGACCCCTGGAGAAGGATCCTCCTTTTCATGCTCTGACCCTTTGTATTCCCAGCTCTGCATGCCAGATGTATTTTCCCCCAAACATGAGTTGCCAGGTTCCTGCTCACTTGCACTGCAGCTGCCTGAGGGCACACACACACACATACACAAAAAAAAAAAACCTGCCATGTCTGCTTGGCTAAAAAATAAATGAGTGGACTTATGAGCAGGGTCAAAGTAAACAAGCCATCCAATGCTGAGGGACTGGTGAGTAAGATCCTGGACAAATAAGCCCGGGTGCTTGTATTTTTAACTTCTTTTAAGACATCACTGAGACTAAAAAGAAAAGACTGCATCAAGCATGAATTCACGTGATTGAAAAGCATGTTGAAAAGCCCAGAAAATACCCTCCAAAAGATAACTGAAATGTTTTTTCCCAGCCCTCAAATTTAAATCTCTAACCCAAAAGATATTAGAAATTTCCAAAAATACAGTGTATAGTGTATTTTCATAGGTAGCTGATGAGCCCAGAAGGCAAATTATGAGACAGTAACTGAAAAAGTAAAGCTCACTTTAGAAATATGGTATTTAAGAGCAAAAGCTGGCTGACCACTGAAAGAAGCCAACAGGTTTTCATCCTGCTAAGGCTTCAAGTGGCACATTTGCTTTCTACCCTGTCTCATCCATCCAATACCTGACCCATTTTCCCCCTTTGGTTTGCATTCTCTGAGGTGTATTATTTACCTTTTTTATAAACTAAATGTTTTAATGAATGTAGAAATAGAAAGGCAGTTAGCAGTGAAACAGAGGTTTAAAGGAGGTGGGGGAATTAGCTGTGTGGCAGAGCTTTGAGAAATGCTGTCCTGTGTTATCTCATGCTCTGGAGCATGATGGGAAAACTTCCCAATCAGTTGGTACCAGCCTTATGAATCACTTACTAAAGGTGAATGCCACTCCTGCTCCCTGCTTTTAACTCCAGAGTAACCCATGAAGGCACGACCAACTCCAGCAGAAATAGCTCACAGTTACCTGTGTCTCATGTGCTGTTCATCATACCACAAAGATGACAGGAATGTAAAAATTATTGCATTTGTACAACTCCACAGCTGAAGAGACACATGGAACTCTGCAATGGGTGCTGGGGGAGAGGGTCACCTCGCCCCAGTGCATGGGCCTGGCACTGCAACTAGCAGCACTAATGAGTTTGCTCAGCTCTGCAGAGCTGACAGGGGAAAGGTGTCTTTTAGCTTGTCTTCCTGGAGAGGAAAGAGAGAAAATAAAGAAGGGCTGTGGCTGAAGAGATATGCACAGAAACCCTGTGATGGTGCACTAGGGCCTACACCAGAGCAGGTGAAATATTTGTTTGGACAAGAGCACTCACTGTGCCACAGATGTGGTCTTTCATTGCCACAGTTAGAGCAATGTATTTATGGTCCTTGAAAGCACATGCAAAAAAAGCTGCACCCCAGCTGTGGGGCTGGGAGTCTCCTCCCAGCACTGCCACTGGGAGAGTCCCACCAAACTACTGCAGGCAGAGGGAGGGCTAAATCATTCTTTAATCACACCTCAGAGTGACAATGCATTGAGGGACAGAGCAGGGCTGAGTCTGGCGCCATGGGGCAGTGGGGCCAGGACCCCATGGCAGCACCAGGGCAGGCTCCTCTTCCCACTTCACCTGGCTTCCCGGGCACGATAGGCACCGCCTCCTTCATCTTCAGCATCTGAGCAAGGCTGGGAAAGCAGCACCTGATTTGGTGTCCCTGTGACAGTGCAGCCTAGTGGTGTCATGCTGGGACACTCTGACCAGCTGCCTTCAGCCTCCATCATCATTCCTAGCCCATCCCTCTCTCCCCTCCTCCCTGCTCCCTTCCTCCAGCCCCAAACATGTGGGGTCCAAAGCCAAGGACTGGTAGGAAAGGGGTGGAGCCAGGGAGACAGCAAGAGGCCGCAGCAGTGGTGGCTGAGCTGTAAGCTTGTAAGCTCAGATGGAGCGATGCAACTCCCGCTCCTCTTTTGTTGGCAGCTGCTCACTGGGCTGGATGTAGTTGTCCTCGATGAAGCCATCATCATCCTCAGCTTGCAGGTCAGCAGCATCAGTTATGGAATGGCTCCCACAGGAGCCCCTGTCCCAGCTGCTGCTATCCTCCATGGGGCTGCGTCCGATGGAGCTGATTTCAGGCAGCGGCCGGTGGCGGTAGCTGGCGAAGTTCTTGTGGGCAAGCTTGCACTTGGCAGCCAGTGCAATCAGGATGGAGATGCCAATCGCTGTCACCAGGAATCCCACCAGGTATGGCCAGCTCCTTCCCCCCTTCCCAGCAGGCAGTGCAGTGCCTGTGACACAGGAAAGGCACATGGTCAGCCTGTAGCACACCCAGGGGGTGTGAACACTGGGGGCAAAACTGCCTGACAGCTGGCTGGTACTGCTGCCCATCACTGTGGAGTCTGTGCTCCATGTGGCTTCGTGGCACCTGTTAACTTTCCTGTCACAAAGCCAGCAAACACCTCCAGGAGTTGGCCACCCTCCCACCAAGCCACTGCACGAGCGTGGCCCAGCAGCCTGAGCCTCTGGGACTGTGGGGCAGAGCGGGGGGTCTCCACCTACAGCCCCACCCAGTATGACAGAGGACAGGAAGGTGCTAGACCCTATGGACACCTCTGAATCTGCACAACTTACTGTTGTTCTCAGTCACTGTGATATTCTGTGGTGTGGTGAGCGCACGAGCAAACCGCTGCTTAACCTGGCAGCCCAGGTCCTGAGAATCCAGAGCTGCGATCTCCTGGCCCCTCAGCTCTGGGGGGGACACGCAGGTCACCTGCACAGCTGGGAGACAAATGGGCTAAGGTGAGATGGGGGTCTGCACCCATCCCCTCTCCAGTTTAGAGAAGATGATCCCCTCTTGCTCCTGGGTTGATGGGTTGCATTGCAAGGTGCTCCTGGCTCTGCCTTACAGATTCGCTGACCCTCAGCATATTGTAGGAAACAACCAAAGGAGAAAATCCCCTGACCAAGGAACCGTGTGTGACTCTGATTAGCAGCTCCTTTAAACTGGATACAGACAAATTCATGGATACCCACAGAAACCCCACTGCTCTTACTTGGAGCTCAGCTCAAATGGTTGGAGCCTGACCTGGCTCCAGAGAGGGAGCTGCCAACTCCTCAACAATGAAAATGTGGTCACTTCACAAAGTCACATAAAGATGGATTTAAAGGCCAAAGTGTACACACAACCCATTTCACAGAAGAGTAGCCAAATTATTCTTCTGACATTCTTAGAAATCCTTGGTATCCTGTGTAACTGCAAGCAAGGAACAGACACATCACATTTCAGTTTGCTGTCCCTCAGCAGGGTAGGACAGAGAGCCATCTCAGACCTTGTCCAGGGATTGAAGCAAATGGATCAAGCAAGACTCCTGCACTCAGGGTTCTGCATGCCTGACACACTCCCTGCCACCCATGCCCTCCACTCACCTCGCCTGCGCTGCAGCCACTGCTGCAGAGTGTGCGCGCTGCAGTCGCAGGCCCAGGGGTTCCCTTCCAGATGGACTTGTGGGACCATCTCCAACAGCTGCAGGCTCCAAGGGTCCACAGAGACCAGCGCGTTGTGCTGCAGGTCCAGGTGGAAAAGAGCCTTCAGCGGCAAAAGGAAAGGGACATCAAGCTCTTGCAAGCTGTTGTTTCTTAGAAGCAGGGTGTGCAAGTTTCCCAGGCCCTTGAAAGTGTCCTCATGAATGTGGGTGATGCTGCAGCTGCTCAGGTCCAGCAGACGCAGCGCCCCGAGGTTGGAGAAGACTGCTGGGCTCAGCATGAGCTTGGCATTGCTGGAGAGGTTGAGAGACTGCAGGGAAGGGAAGTGCTTCAAGAGAGTCCTGTGATGGGGCATGACCAAGGAGTTGAAGGAGAGGTCCAAACTGCTGATGTTTCTTGGAAGGGAACTTGGAGCGTGCTGAAGGTTCTTCCCACTGCAGTTGGCCCACCCCTGGGAAAAGAGCTACTGTTGAGATGGGCTATCCATGATGGGGAGTGTCTCCATAGAGAGACTGCTCAAAGGTTCAGATGTCTTAATTACTCTTGCAGAGTTTAAAAAAGCAAAGACACACACATGTTTAAAAAACACGTGAGCTACCAGATTGGAGTGGGCCTAGATAAATAGAGAAAGATGAGCAGGACAGCCCAGGACTGAGAGCAGCTGACTGAAACAGTAAAGAAGGAGCATGCAGGGCTGGAGGAAAAACCCAAATGGATGAGTGAAGAGGCAGCAGGTTGTCACCTCCCTGTCCTTCCATAGAGGGCAGTTGTCATACAGGGTCAGTTTGCAGAGGGCCTTCCTTTTCCTCCCCTGGATCCCCACCTCCAGCCCCCTGGGAGCTCTTGTGTGACACAGGGGCATCCTCCCAGGTGGAGCAGGGAAGCAGGCAAGCCTTGCCTGTTGCAAGGGCAGGCAGGAAGCTGACCAGGCTGCAGAGCTATAGGCACCTGTACCAGTCACCTGTGCCTGGAGCAGCTCCCTGGGGCCTGTGCAGGACAATGCACCAATGCTTCCATCTGTGCCACCTTCCTGAGGATACACAGTAGGTAGCTGTGGCTTACTGCTGGCTGGCTGTGTCAGTATCAGGAAACCTGAGGCCAAGGACCATTCACTGTCCCAAAAGACCAGCAGAGCAGGATGGAAGGATGTCAACCCACATGGATGGATTTATTTTTTCCCAGTAAAACAGGGAAAACTCAAATAGTTCTGGGGAGCAATCCACAGCATGGGTTACTCTTTCCTGGGCTTTTAGTGGGAGGGGGTCAAGTGTCCACACTGAAGCTGCCAGAGTGCAGGTCAGCAATTTAAGTTTGGTTTGGCAGGCACAAGCTCCTGCTAAGTACTGTGTTTGGACCTTGCAAGCAGAGATGCTGTGATTTAAGTCTACTGTGGTCCATAGTCCTGGGTTTCTGTGTTGGCTACATTCCAGCTAGCTGAGCTTTCAGTTTCCTTCACCTGTCTTTTCATCCTCCTAAATCTCCTATCAGACCCTGCTGTTCCTGCTTGGTAGAGGAACAGATATGCCCTTAAAAACCTCAGGTGCTGAGGACTGGGTTATAATTGGGCCAAGCCTCAGGGGCACCACACAGGCCCTGTTTCCAGCTCAAACACAGCTGGGCTCAGGGAGGCTTTGGAAAACAGTGCAAACTTTTGAGTGGAATAACTGAGAGCTCAGTGGAAAGGTCAGTGGCCCCTGACAGCCACTTTCCTTCATTCTCTCAGCTCCTGCCTGATGCAGCCAAGCTGCTGGCTGCAGTGCTTGTCCCAGTGGCTTAGCAGTGTTTCCTGCTCCTTGCCGGGTGTTTAGGGATCCTGGCCCCATGCTTGCCAATCACCCTGGCTCCAGTCACTGCATCACCATGCATTGGGGAAGGGAATGAGGGGTTGGGACCTCCTCAGGGATGTGACTCATGGCTGCTTGCCATGCACCCCTTATGGGCAGCTGTGTTACACCTGCAGCCAAGAGACCCCCACAGTCAGAAATGCCGTGACTCAGACAATGCTCTCCCAGGCCGTGCTCTGTGAACAGGCTGGATAACATGACACGTTCAGCCCAAGGCTGGGAGCAGGACAGCCGGGCTCTGGGCATGAGCAAACCACCCCTGTGGCTGGTGGCCACTGGCACAGCACATCTCCCAATTAACTCTGCTGCCTCCCGTGGGTTTTCATCACTCGTCTTCTCTTGAGCCGTGCAGAGCAGGAGCTGCCTGCCAGGCCCCGCTGCCCGTGACACCCCAGCTGTCCTGCAGGCCCAGGAGCCGGCCCTGCCCACCCCCAGTGCTGCCCGCGCCGCAGCCCCCACGGCCCCCCTACCTGGTGGTCAAGGCTGCAGGGGTGTCCCATCACCACTGACCAGGCGCAGAGGAGGCTGCAGACCCAGCAGAGCAGGCAGGTAGGAGCCATTTGGCTCCAGGAAACTTCCGGCCAGAAAAACAAGTCTCGGGGAAAGCTGGGAAGCCGGCAGAGCCGGCCCTGCCGGGCGAGGTGTGGCCGCGGCCGCACGGTTCTGGGCCGCCACCGAGTCCTCACAGGCCGGCCCCGCACTCAGCAGCGCCCGGGACCCGGCCTGGCTGCCGCCCCGGCCCCGCTGCGCCGCGGCCCCGCTCCTCCCGAGCTGGTGAAAGGTGGCGGTGCCAGTTACACATTAACAGCCGCGCCCCATCACCTCCCAGCCGTGTGGCCGCCCGTGATCGGTGACCAGGACTGCCGGCTGCGCTGTGGGTGCCGTGGGGGCTGCCGAGGTGGCAGCAGGACCCTGGGAGGGCTGGGGAGCCTCCAGAGGGAGGAGGGGGCACGGCTGTGGCATCTGCCCTGAGACGCTGCACTGGAGGAGAGCAGCCTGAGCCTGGTCCAGATGTTGGTCCACGCACCTGGGACAGGGGCACACAGCCAGCCCCGTCGGGGGAAGCTGGGGCTGAGGCAGCAGGAAAGTATCCTACAGGAAAACAAAGGTCTTGCTGGAATTCCAGCAGAAAGGTGTTTAAAGCATGCAGCAAACTGGCAGGTCTCTGGGGCCAGCAGCAGCAGCTCAGTGAACAGCACCTGTTCATGAAGGTCCCAGAGGACGGGAGTGCCCCACCACCTTCGGCACCCCCCATGCAGACCTGCCACTTAACAGTAGTTCTCCCTTCCAATCCTGCCATGGAGTCAGTGACAGTCTGAGAAATCACGTCAAACATCATCTCATGGGTGTTTGCTGGCACGCCAGACCTGCTGCTGTGCCCGCAGGTGATGGGGCAGGTGAGTGGGCAAGGCTGGCAGAGCCACAGGCCAGGCAGGGAAAGTGCTGGCTGCACCTGCTCCTGGCTTTGCCTCTGAAGCAGGAGGGAGCCCCAAACTCTCTTCCCTGCTCCCCATTCTCTGGTCCCATGCCTGCTCATCGACAGGAAGCCGATTGCCAGCAAGAGCACTTCGGAACTGTCGGCAGCTGGGACAGGATGGCCCCTCCTCCCCCAGCTGCCAAAGGGCCCCTCCACAGCCGCACATCCACCCTTTCCTCAGGGAAAGGGCTTCCCAGCAGCCTGTCCTTCATCCTGTGGGCATGTGCTGGATGCCAAGGCAGCAGGCAGCTCCTGCTTCCCAGCTGCCCAGGCGGGCTGGGGATGCTCAAATACCCCACTTCCAGGATGCTCCTTTGCCTGGTGGGATGAGTCCTTAGCCCAACTTTGCAGGGCCTCCCCAGGACCCGCTGAACACATAAAACAAAACAAGTATCCAGAGAAGCAGGGCTAGAAAGTGTTGCTGAGGCAGCCCAGTCCACTGGTGGATCTGCAGGGGGGGTTGCATTTCCTATCAGGAAGTGTATCTGTGCATTATGGTTTCTGGCATATGGTGCCATGCATTAGAATGTGCAAATGAAAACAAAAAGTGATAATTTTTTCAGTCTTTGGGGGATTTTTGTTTTTGTTTTTTTTTTAATATGTTGTGATTCAGCAAAAAAGCTGAGGATCATGAAATCAGCAGATATTCAGGTGCTTGGAGTGTCCTATGGATTGGGCAACTGGAGCTTTCCATATGGCCGGAGAGCAAGTGTGGAGAGCTGCTTCGGCTGTGCTCAGCTGTGCCTATCTCTCTGGTGCCTCCCCTGGAGACAGATAAACTTAAACTGGAGCTGTAAGGTCCTAGCTGACCACAAAACTCCCCAGAAAGGTTTCCTACCCTACCTCCAGCCAAAGGAATCTGCACATATAGACAGCACAGCTCTTATCCAGGTGCTCCTAGCAAAAAACACAGGACAACAAATCACATTGGGTCAGATTCCTCAATGGATCCCTGAGATCTCCTGGGTATGGCCTGATGCAGAGAATGACCCCATCTGGCTCCAATTCCACAAAAATTCTGCATGAATAATCCCATCCTCAAATGGATCCTCCCGAAAGAGGGCATTTCACTGAATGCACTCTAACTCGGGCTCTGTGTGATGCACTCCCCCACAGCTGCCAGGGAAGCACAGAATAAGTTGCACATGTAAGCACGCAGTTCTTAACCTGACTAGCCCCTACAGCCAGCTTAATTTTCCAAGCAAATGAGGGCAGCTGCACCTGGTATCTACCTTTTTCAGATCCTCTCCCCCCTCCTGCCATGGGGTGGCCGGGCAGCTGCACTGTGGGAGCCCCTGCTCACTGCCATCCCTTCCTCAGCATGCCATGGGCACCGCGCGGCCCCAGAGCACTCTGTAAATAGTCGGAAGCGATGAATGGATTTCCCTTTCCTCTCCATGTGTACTTTAGATTTTTGGCCGGATACAGCATGGGCCCAGGACACATCAAAACATGAGACTCACTCCCTGGCAGCCCTGGCTTTTCACATGGGAACAGTTTGATTTGTGAAGCAGTGTGAGGTTTGGTGCGTGAAGCTTATGGCGATTTCATGAGGAACACTTTTCGTTTGCCAGGCAAAGAGCCTGGAGCCTGCTGGTGGCTGGCACAGCCTCCACGCTGGGAGGGAGACACTCTGGGGCTGGGCTGTAGCAAGGCCATGCTGTGCTGTGCCCATGCCAGCACTGTGCATGGGAAAGTGCTCAGGGAAAGCCAGGCTTTCTCCTGCTTCCCCTTCCCCCCAGACATGTTTACCACAAACCACAGGGTTTTCTCCTCGGGCAGTGGCCACGCTCCCGTGTGAGCTGGGCAGCTTGCTGGCGCCCTGCCCATGCTCCCACTCAGCCCCTTTGAAGCGGGACAGTGTCCCCCCCAATGGGCCCCTTCAGGACGAGTCAAGCCCTGGCAGTGCACCCCGGAGGCCGGGCGGGCCGTGCCTCGCACCCCGGAGGCCGGGCGGGCCGTGCCTCGCACCCCGGAGGCCGGGCGGGCCGTGCCTCGCACCCCGGAGCCCGGGCGGGCCGTGCCTCGCACCCC